CAGTGAAGAACAAGTTCATTCACCACTGAAAGCACTAAGAGTTACAATAAAAATCCAGTTGTCCTGAACAACTATTATCCCTATTTAAACCAAAAAACCCACAAGGGAGTAGAAAACCTTTTAGAATTCTTTTAAGTTATTTGCTTGTAAGTAAAGTAATGTATAGTTTAAGAAAATTCAATTACTTAATTATGAAAAGCACAAGATTAAAGATAATCCCTTCCCTAGAGCAGCATTATACCTAAGGTTGGCTCTGGGTAGAAGCCAACTATTCCAACTGACACAGAGGAATTGCAAAGAAAGAGGGAGGATAGAGGAAAGAGGGAAATCCTCATGATTTCATCATTTTCACATTACATGGATTAAGAACGGAGGTTTTAGAACAGGCATTATGCAGGCATCTCAAGTGACTGAAAAGACATTTCTCAACTGTTAAACAGTAAAACCACAAAGATTTTTTAAAAAATGAAACAACAGAATGCAGTGGGTTTTGGCAAAACCTGAATTTTTACCTTGATACTGTTTTCTAAAAATTGCACCCCTCTCAAAATTATTCTTTCTCTTTCTTGACTCATTAATAGATCAGCTGTTTTCAAGGAAAGAGTTGCCTTGCTACAGAAGCACAGCTGCTTGTATTTCCAAATTAATTTTACAGAAAGCAGACAAAAAGGACAACTCTGTTGCTAAAAAGCATTATCACTACTCTAAAAGTGACCTATTCCTTGCATCCTCTAAATCTGAAACCTACTCATGCACAATTTTGTGCTGTGTCTAGAGGATGAGCTCTGAAGGAAACTACATTTATATAGTTCTGTCACTACCAGTAGCTTGATGATTTGCTTGGTAAGAAATGGATTAACTAAAAGTCATTATTTGTATAGAGGGTATCTTTGGGAATTTCAAGCAACAGGTTGTATTATGATATACGCTGCTAATTCACATGAGTCATACCTGTATACGTGTTAGCTTCACATCATTAGGTACTACACTGAATAAATGGTGCAAAAAATTCTCAGTGGCATCATTTCCACGGAAAACTTTTCTAAAAGAAATGTCATTTAGAATATATATGCAAAGAGATGGAACATAAACAATTACATTGAATGGTCTGATTGCATTTGCCCAGCGTACTCTTGAAAATATTTTATTTCCTCTGTAAACATTTCTTTTTACATTTAAGAGAACAAGGTCAACTGTAATTAGGTAAATGGTAGAGATGGACTTGAGCGTAACTAAATCTTTTCAGGGGTGTGGGGAAGTTCAGTGTAGAAAGTATGTTTCTGGAGATGGAAAACTTTGACAAAGAACTTTGCAAATTGGATATGGCCTTTGTAAGATTGAAGCAAAGGTTCCTATTTACCTTCCTGACTACAGAAATACAATCTTTGCAGCTAAATCAAATCCTGCCTCTTGTAAGGGCCGAAGAAATAATTCTCAGACTGGAAATCAGGAAGTTGGTGACCTCCTATTAATGATGACTGACTGCACATTTATGCTTCAATTCTGGTGATACCAAATAAAATGCTGACAGAAATATTCCACAGAGTTAATCTACATGACTGCACCACCTAAATGTCCTGTTTGCCTTAACTAAAATGGCCACAGCAGCACTGCAAAGCCATGCTACAGTTGTGTTCTCACTTGTTTAATTACTCGGGATATCTGAATGTTACTCATTCTCTCCCAGTGAACTGCAGAATAAACAGTGAGACCTTTGGGCACGTGGAGGATGGGATGCATATGGGGAAGGGTAACCATGAGAATGCACTGGCAGACTGCTGGCACTTCATTTTAAAACACACAAAAAAATGGTTCTTAGCCTGAAAGACAACAGAATATTGGCTGTAGCAAGTATCCCTGACTAGTTCGCATTTGGGGTGCCACAAGATATATGTGTGAGGGAAAAGGGGAGTTGTGAGCATCCAAGCGATAATTCAAGGAATCTGCAGCAAGACACAAACACATAGACAAGCCTATACTGAATACGGCAGCACGCAGATGCCAGGTGAGCCTGCACTTCTCCCTTCAGAAGGACATACTATTTGTAATATACATATGTTTATGCAAATGAGAAATAAAAAAATCATGTTTGGTAGTTTACGTCAGTGGAATGACACCTCCCATGACTTTTGCTTGGAGAAAAACTAATGAGAGAGGAGGGTTTCGAGGTGCACAGAAATCAAGTGATTTATACCATTATTTAAAAGCACGTAAGCAAAAGTCCACCATCTTAGAGTGCTTTTTGTAAAGCTACCACTCAGCGTTTTACATTAATATGGTATCTCATTCATTTTGAAAGACATGAACTTCATTTTGCCTGACTTGTTTCCTGTCAAGGAAATTCAGTGACTTGTTACTTTTACTTTTTTTTGAAGACAGCCATAAGCTAAAAGTATTAATTGTTTTGACTTACAAGTAATTGCAAAACCCATCTCGTACTTTATTATCCTGTAAATGCTTTTCTCAGCCTAAAGCGTGGAAGTTACAAGTGAGTTAATGTTTTGTGAATTGATTCAGTTGTCTATTCTACTTACACTTGGAAGCATTTCATAAAAGTGTAATGGGCCTTTCAGTGCTGGGAGATGTAAGCCCTTCAGAGACTTTTAGTAACAAGACAGACAGAATGCTATTACATTATCTCTGCCAAGTTGATCAGACAAACTCCTAAGTCACAAAGCCTATAGAGGGAAGCACAGAACCGATAGCTTCAAAAAAAGGGACCCATTTCTTGGAAGAAAATTGGGAAAATGGAGAAGAAAAAAGAAAAAAAAAAAGCAAGCACTTTGTAGTCTCCAGAAGACAAAAGGCAATGATGCAAAGCATATTAAGAATGACCACACTGATATATTCAGGGAAAGAATTTGATCAAAACACCCCACATTTCATTGTTTACAATTAGGCAACATCTTTGCTTTTGTTAATTCAAGAAACTTAAAATTAGAAGGCACAGAAAATGAGCAATAAAAGGGACGCTTCCTATTTTTTACCTTTTTAACCCTCATCCCCCCTCAAAGTCCCTGCTGGCATCATTTAGATTTATTACACTTGTGGGTAAAACTTGTCCATTGACAACTGACCTGATACGATTAATATTAAAGCAGTGGCTCATGAAGTTTTCCAGAATACAATCTTGATGTTTTATTTGCAAACACACTAAAGAGCCAATACATTGTCCAGACACGGATACCCTCTTGCACCTAATAAATGCAAACACAAAACACAGCTCATGCTTCTATTTCAATACAACTATAGTTGTAACAGTTCTCCAGGAGGACAACAAGGTTTTTCAGGCTATACCTGCTAGTTAGTTTTGGTTTTTTTTCAAAGATCCTCTTCAGCAGACTGAATATTCTCACACTAGCTTCCTCCTATCTCTAGCCCAGAACCAACTATTGTCTAATTGTGCCAAACAGGGCTACCCATTTTTGTTATGACTGTTCAAAAATATAAAGATAAGTATTGGCATTTACATATGAAGGCTTGCTTAACATCTCTATCAGTGACCTGGAGGAGGAGACAGTATACACTCTTATTCATGAGGTTTGTGGGTGACAACCAACTGTATAAGGGAAGCAGCTGACACTCAAGAGCAGGGCTGCCATCAGGAAGTACCTAGACAGTCTGGAGAAAAGGGTTAACAACAGACTTATGAAACAGTCAGGACAAATGCCAAAGCCCTGTCCCAGCAAGGCAGAGCCCTGCAGCCATGAGGCTGGGGCTGGGAAACAGCTCTGGGGGGTTGGCCCTGGGCACTGGAGGGCAGCAAACTGAGGCAGGGCCACCTGTGTGCCTAGGAAGCAACAAGGGCCAGTGGTGCCTAGGGTCTCATGAGCAGATCACAGCCCTGAGAGACAGGGCGGGGCAGGGACAGTACCCTCTGCTTGGTGCTTGCCAGACCCCACGTGGGTACTGCCTCCAGACTGGGTCCCCAACACAGAAATACCACCAACAAAATGGTGGGAGGTGAGGGGAGGCCACTGAGACAGAGGAGCTAGAGCCCTTGCCCTGCAAGGAGAGGCTGCAGGACTGGGGCTGCTTCAGCTGGGCGGAGGGACGGCTTCGGGGACACCCAACAGCATCCCTGGGACCCATGGGAGGGAATGGAGGAGACACAGTCGCGCTCTTCACAGCGGTGTGTGACAGGAGGGGAACACAAGCTGACACACAAGAGGCTCAGGCTGGAGGTAAAGAGAAGCCCCACAAAGACAGGCCAGCGGTGGAGCTGGGGCCCGGGGAGGTAGGACCACCTTTGGCCAGGGGAGGTTTCACAACCTGGCAAGGAGGGGTGAAGTCCTGAGCAGCCCGGTCTGACCCCATGGCTGAGCCTCTGGTGGTCCCTGCCAGCATGAATGATTCTGCCATTGTGTGAAACACACCAGAATGGTTTCCACTAACAGACAAATGTAAACCTAAAGGTTTGGTCCTCTCTTCCCTCCAAATGGGCAAACCTCCTTTGGGCTTTTTCATATCAATTAATTCTATCAACATGTAAAGAAGTCTTGGTAAATTTTCTGGTTCAGACTGTGTAACATATATTACATAAATTTAAGTAAGTTTATTTATACTTACAGTTTCTAACTTGTTCTACCTTATAATTATGAATTTATTCTGCTTAATACAGGACCGTTTCTCTTTAAATGAGAGATATTTTATTTTCTTATTACTTCCTCCCGTCACAGTAGCCCTCCTGTATTTCATCTCTGGAAAGTCAAGCAAGTAATGCTTCATGTATAAGGTCTAAGTTCTGCTTTTGCAGAAGTAAACATGAATCGCTCGGTTGTGAAGACAGATATATAATCGTATATTTAAGGTAGGCACATGTTCATTTGCTCACCCATTCCACTTAAAGACAACAAGCACTGAGCTCTTAGACGAAGTTAATCACAAAAACACCTCACTTCGTTTCACTGTCAGGTCAATCTTTATTATACTAATCATGCACCAGCAATAAGCAGCAACATCTTTATTGTGATGGCTTTTGACATGGGTGCAGGACTCACCCCTCCTGCCTTTAGCAGCTTTCTTCTGAATTCCTCTGTCGGGTTGTTGAATGTGAGCTTTTCACAGCGGAGGTGATTTACAGGTGGGTGGCCTTCAAGGTGCAGGAATAAGTCATAGTCAAATCGAACTTTCTTAGGTTCTTCCTGAGGGTTGAAAATAACCAGATAGAAACATCTAGCACCAAAACTAACTAAGTTGAAAACAAGCACTACATAAAGACTATCAATTAAAATGAAAATTATGTCATTTTTAACCATTCTCTGTGTTTTCGGACACATGATGGAATTTACCAAGCATCAGCTGAGCTACAGTAAATCAGACAAGCTCCTATCAGCCCATGATAACACATGGTAAAATGCATGAACTTCATGAACTTCAAGCTGTCCTGACAAGGCTTAATTGAAAGTGTTACATCATGTTTGGCACAGGCTACAGACGTATGCATAGGCAAGTATGTGATTCAGCTGACACAAGGTAACTCAGTCACCAACACAATCACACTTCTGAGCCCTAGACAGTACTGAAGTGAAGACACTGCAGTAAGTTTTGAATGCAAATTCCTCCACCGAAGCCAAACACTATTGTTTTCTTCACGAGTTGTAGAAAGGGGTAAGAATGAAACTGCTGCAGCCAGCTATATTTGATCTCCTATGTATGGGATCTGCTCATTTATTAATGAAACTTCATTGCCTTGAACGAGTGTGGCCATCTAGATTTCAAGTGTTCCACCACAGCTTCCATGCAATTAAAATTCTCTGCCACTGCAGTGAAAAATATGAAACTGAATGTTCCCTGTACCAATATGGAGAGAGAAAGAACAAGAAAGGCAAATTTATCTTGGAAGAAATCACTGCTCTACTATCAGAAAGCCTCATCTGAAAAAGGACACTAGTGGCATTGAATAGACTTCAGTCTGTAATACGAGAGAAAAAATACTAAGTATGTTTTGTGTTATACATTTACACAGTCCCTTCTAGAAGCTATATGTAAGTTAAGTGCTCTCTTAAGGCAATATTAAATAGCCCTTCCTCCAAATGTCATGATGTGCAACAGAAGCCACCAAACCAATGCCAGTCTTAAGGCAGAACACAAGTAAAAGGTCAAATTCAGGAAAAGCTTTAGTAAAAAGGGAACCATGAGGGAAGAGAAGGAAGAAATACAGCAAAATCTTAGCACATATCCAACGCTCCATGTAATCAAAATGTGTGCTCTGTTCAGTGATAGATGTTTAAAAAATTCACATTAAAAAATGTTTAGTTTTGATTCAGGATTCCAAGGATGTGAAGAACAGAAAGTAGAAATCTCAGTTATTCTAAAAGTTAAATCAGAGGTTTCAAACACAGCCAAGGGACATCCTCATTGTCCCCTCTCTAGACTTGGAGAAGAGACAACAGAAGAGGACCTGAAATAAAAGGCCTGCAGTAGTCTGTTTCTGAAGACAAAGAGAGTAGTTCCCGTAGATTATTTTCTTGACGGACCATTTTCAAAGACAACCATGGATGAAGATATTTCTTATTGTTAGAAAGCCTAAGACATGATTTCTTGCAGAAAAAAATGGAAGTGATTTACTCCCCTGTCTGCTTAGAAAACTGTGATGTTGCTACAGGCAGTTGGTACCAGCAGCTTTGCCATAAAAGCAAAGTTATAAGAATTTATAAACAGGAGTCTTCAAAGAATTCTGTGGAAAGTTTGATGAACATAACCAGTGATTTCAAAGCAGACTTTTACTATACAAAGGACTCCCAGTAGCACTGCCATTATTTCAAAACAGTGTGACAGTGAAGGCAGAATATACGGCAGTTTATGAGCCTTATCCTAAGTGGACTGCATTTTCCAGAGTAGGAGTCTTTTGACCTAAAAGCATTTTTTCAAGGACTTTGTCTCAATGGCTAACAACTATAGCCTGCTGCTGTATTTGGGAGGGGTTTTTTTTTGTCATTTCCCTAATTCTTTAAAGCTTGGAATATTTTCCGTCAGGGTGAAATGCCTATTAGATATTCTACCAATTTCTGTTTAGTCCTGGGAACAGGCACCCGTTAATTCTCCACGATCCAGGTGGCTTCTTGTACCCCTGCCTTCTCTATTCACTAGGGTACTTTCTGAACCAGAAATCGAAAAGTTGTCTACCTTGAATAAGTGATGATGGTCTGTCTCCTCTTCCTCCTTCTGTCTATCTCCTCTTTTTCTGTACTGGAATACCTGTGAAGTGGCTTAGGGGAGGAAGAGTAGCTAAGCCAGGAGAAAGCAGTAATTTGCCTCAAAAAAAACCACTTTTCCTTTGTATTGTACCGACCCCAGGGAAGGGCATGCTCCTGCAGCTGTGAAGAGCTAGCTGACTCACAGTCCAACTGCTGCTTGTCGTATTCCATGACACCAAAATAGGGGTGAGGGATGTTTGCAAACTTCCTAATTCCACATGCTGCTTTAGGGTGAGGTGAGTTGTAATCACTGCTGCCCTCTTGATCTCAGTCTAAGGCACAACTCCTGCTGGAGAACTCCTGAGACTTGCAGGTCTCCACAGTCAGCAAAGGCAGCCAAAAGTCTGAGTGAAAACAAAAAAAGAAATGTCGGGCAGGAAGTTTTCTGTAGAGATGCTTCAATGATTGACTCACTGTCTTCTGCCTTTGTCTGCCCAGTTTGGGATGAGCTCTTACCAGAGGAGTTAAAGAGAATGGGCTGCTTTTCATTAGATTTCCTGAATGAATCAAAACTGCTTCCCTAATGGAGACAAAGCTAAAAAGCATACCAAAAAAGCCAGTCAACTCACTGAGGCAGTTCTGTTTCCTTTTCCAACAGCAAACAGGGTAGATAAGCCCTGCTCTTCACAGATTGATACAGGGAACATTTCAGAATTACCTGTTCAAAACCTACAACTTATAAAGTGCCTGAGCAGAATTATCCACACTTCACACCTTGACAGAGCTGTGAAAGACAAAAGAATACTGGAGTATCTACTTGAAGGCATAAACAGCTAACAAAGTTGTACTCACAAATTTTAAGTGACCAGGGTTCCAGCAAAAGTCTTTTACTATGCATTTACATTTTCTTTCGGTTTTAGTTTTTCACCAAGCATTCAACATATTAAAGATGTAACACTGACTTGATTAAAATAATTATGTTAAACTACATCTTGGTAAGATAAAATAAATACACAGGTATCATAGAAGCACATGCAAAGTATAATAATAGCTCCACCGAGGCACATGACATACAAAAGGAACCTAAAATATTGCAGTTATTAAGGTACTGTACATTAAACCATGCAAGCTTTTTGCTCTAATTCCCCCCAAACCCAATTCCTTTTATCTGAACGAGTTATTAGTAATACAGACCCTGTTACGTACATTAAAGGAAATCTCTGTATTCGCTATCTAGGAGATCCACAATAAGTGCAGCATTTACTTAGACTCAGAATTTGAGATACCACAATAACGCAAGCTTTGTAGAACAGCACTGGGTTTGTTTTTAAACTGTGCCCCCCGGTAATGTTGAGTTGAGTACAGTCAATGGTCACATGCAGTCTAAAAGAACGTTTTTTCAGACTGAGGATGCAGGATTAAAAAAAAAAAAAAGAAAGATCAAAACCCGAACAAATTAAAAAGATTGGCAATACTAAAATAGAACAGTAAGTTCATTATGAAATCAACATAATCAAGATCAGTTTCGTTTCTTAAAGTTTAAGTGGCTCTTGAACTTTCTAAAGCATTATTTAAAGTCTGGCCACTTCTGAGTAGGGCTAGTAATTCTTCTGAATAATTACATTCAACTTCTTTATTTTATCAGGTAATCCTAATTTCATAGCGTTATCTACTAAATACAATTACACATTTCTAAAAGTTACAGTGACTATGAATTGAGGAACAGCAATGACAAAGATAGCTTTAAACCTAATTTTTAACTGAGTTTATGAATTAAACTTTAAAAATCTTTAAAAAACCCTGACTTCCACATGATGTGTTTAATATTTTTTTTTAATTAGATGTATGTGATTCCATACCTTGTTTTTGAAGTAAACCTCAATTGGCAAAATGAAACCAGCATACCCAGATTCTTCAACTTTGTAGGGTGGATCCTTACACACTGAAACAAAGAGGAAAAACCTGTACTTAACACATACAAAAAAAAATTTTAAACGCACAAGCCAAACATACGAACAAACGATCTGTGACAATAGTTCTATGACAGCACCATTACAAAACTGCACACACACAGTAGGACACACCTGTGCACAGCTCAACATGAATTGTGCAAGCAAATCGTTCCTGCCTGTATACAACCTACAGCTCAGGGATAGCAAATTTCTAATTTTTTTTTTCTTTTTCAATCATTTCAGACTGCTAAAGCACCAGGGACTTCAACACCAGGTGGACCCACTGAGTACCCACAACAGCTACATCGGCACTGCAGCCAAGGCTTGTTATGGGAATGGAAAATATACAGGATTCCACCCTGAGAAAGTTAAACATGGAGAGGGCAGAAGAACTGCCATTCATGTGTTCATAACCTAACACTAATAAAATTCTAATTCTAATAAATGTAATTTAAAATAAATAAAGAAATTGACACAACATTCCAGTATACAGTGGAGAACCTCAGGAAGGTTAACTATTGTATTACGTTAAAACAGTATCCAGGTTTACCCTATAGGATTCAGACTTCTTTAACGTAACAGTGCGTATTACTAGCTCCAATATACCATCTTTTCCCTGACATTTTCAGTTTAATGCAAGGGCTTTTAGTTACATGAAATCCCCGTAGTATTGAACATGAGCTCTCTGAAGAAAGTGACACTAGCCTGCCAACTCCAGCCAGTGACAAAAAGCAGATTGTTAGAGAACTTGGAACAGAAGCCACCTCCTCCTTCTCCTGTTTGGCTGTGTGACAACCTCATTACAGAATTCATGCCCACGTAACACATAAGCACAAAGGTAGGCTGTGCTTGAGAAACCACGCGTCTCCTGCAGCATCAACTCAGATGCTTCCAAATGCTGCATTGATATATATATGACAACTCATGTCATATGCACTACCATCTCAATGACATCATAGGACAATGACAGTTTCTCTACTGTAGACTGGCAGAATGATGCAATTCATATAGAAAGGGTTGACTTCTTCAGAAACATTTGCTCAAGCTCATCAATCCTGCTTACCAAAAGAAAATTCAAACTCCCAGATGGACCCTCATTTGCTAGGATGTATGCTCTTTTCAGAATTGCCTGGTAGCTGCTCACTGCACTGTATCGGGTGCAACTTAAACTACATTTTACAAAAAGTATGTGCTGCAATCAACTGTGCAGGGCCTGAATATCAAAATTACTCTTTTTAGCAAAGCACCACAGGTGGGCACTTACCACCATCTATCATCCCAAAAACATGACAAGGCCCATCAGACACATCCAGGAATATAACCATTGCTATATTCTCAATAGTATGATCAGTACATCAGCTTTCTGAAGACTTGCAAGCTTGGTTAATCCCCAAGTGAATGAACACAGCAGAATTTTGTCCTACTACCTTGCCATTCTCCTCCTGCTCTGCTAGCACCAAACCCATGCAGGGACTTCAAGGATGAGGAAGATTCCAAGTCCTTGCTCACCTTTTGGCTATCACTACCCAGTTCACCTCATGCAATCAACAGAAAGGGAAATGGATGACAAAATCAGAGCAAGAATAATCTCTTTTCCAGGCTCTTCTGCAACACTGCCTTCTTGCAGCTACAGAACTTGGTTTGTTTTTCTTGGCAGGAAAAAAGAGGACATACAGTTTACAAAGTGGGATTTGAGAGATTTTGAAGAGAAGTGTCAAGATGATAGGTCAAATCTGAGAGGTGGTTTCAGACATACTAAGCTTTTAAGTTGGAAACTGAGCATTTTGTGTTAGAACTGCCCAGAAGTAGTATTTCGCCTTATATTGACATGTCTTCCCTTAGGAGAGCTTACCAGCATTTGAAAAATGTAAATATAATAGTCCTAGTTAAGCACAGTGACAAGTTACAGTAATACATACTGATGACTTTTTCAGTCAAAGATAGAGGAGCCTTCCTGCTCCTTCTCTGCCTTCAGAGGACAACTTGAGGAGAAAGCCTTCCCAGTATTATTTGAATGGCCGTTTAGGTTCAGAAGGCTGAAATCCACTTATATAAGAACTGGAAAAGATTATACAGCATATATTTATCCAGATGGAAACACAGAAACTTTAGAAACTGTAACAATACATTAACTGTTACAGAGATTTCAGGCTCCATTACATGACAAGTCACAAATCACTTTTTTCTTTTTTTTTTTTTAAAAATCACATCAGCTTCTTCCTGAGAACTTAATTGGTGCAGAAAACACTGTCAGCATAAATATTTTTCATTCTCTCCCTCAAATCTCTCTTCTTTCAGCTAACACAGCTGTTAGCCATGCTGGATAGTACCTTGTCAAAGTTTCACATTACAGTTCTGAAAACAAAGTCTGTTACGCTTGCAGGCTTTGTTGAAACTTGGGTGATGGGTTACAAAACACTTAATCACAAGGAAATTACTTTGGGTGCCTTCCCAAACTCAAAGATGGGCTTTTAATAGAAGGAAAATCCTACAATCTCATGAATGAAACCTTCCTGAAAAAAGGCAAATGACTGAGCAAAGCTCCGTGCTATTGCATACATGTAGACTGCAGCTAAAATGAAAGCTATTGTATTTTCCTCACCTTTCTTGTAGAAGCCACTACTATATGTACTGGCAGAAACAGCGTATTTGTGCACAAGCTTTTTTTTTTGTTGTTGAACTGTTTCAAGTAGTAGCCAGGGCTGCGATGACATGTGTGGTTTAGCTGAGCCAACAGGCAACCATCCTAGCAATGTTTGTTGAGTGGAGAAGAGAGAGGTAGCAAGAGTTTGGTAAAACAGAGAAAAGGTAGACAGAAAAAAGTAACAGGAGAGGCAAAAAAACCCCTGTAGTGGAGAAGGAAAAGAGAAACAAAAGCAAATTGCAGGTATAGACCAACAGAGCAAAACCAACAACAGAAACTAGGAAGGAGTGATTTTGAAGAAGGAAGCACCTGGAAACCTTAACATGCTTCTCAAAGCTCATTAAAAAAAAGCAGCTACACTAGACCAGGTAGATAAGCAGAACACACTACCCTTTTACAGACAAACAAACGATTTCCTCACCATCCAGAGGGACAGAGGCATTTCCCCAATGACTGATACTCTCCTTTGAAGTGGCACCTACAAATGCATCTCAAGCACCAGATAAACAAAGCCTCTTGCACAACGGTACCACTAAGACTTAATTATTCTGGTCAGGTTTTTTTCCTATGGAAACAGCTTGTATGATCACAATGCAGTTCCTCCCTCTCTCCTATATCTTTTGACTAGGCAGTCCAACTTCAGGACAGTCTCTATGACAATTAAGGCCCTACAGATTCCTACAGATCCAGTGAAAAACGAGTGCCTGCACTGAGAAAGCAGTTCCAGATAACATCTTCACTGAGATGCAGGGACAAGCAGCCAGCAGTATGCAGAATTACAAACCAGTTATAACACAGTGTCTCTTTTCATGAGAACTGTAGGGCCAGGAGAAGAGAAGTAAAGAGAAAAGCTAAACTATGCAGATTTCTTTAGGCCTACTGGCCACACAATACGCTGGGTTTTTTGTTGCCTGCGTAAGGCAAGGTAAGGACTTCACGATACTATACTATTATCGTATCTTTGTCAGAATGCAGGATCATTTCTCTTCTTCCATAAATTAAAGCTTTAATCTTAGGTATTTGCACATGCATTTGCTAAACACAGATAGACCAGCCCCCTAAAGCAATTTTAGGTACAATTTTGAAATAAAAATAGGAGTTTATGCAACACAATTATACTGCTGAAGTCCATCCCTTCTGTTCATCATGTTTCATTGTACTTCAGTATGAACATTGCTGTAACAAGTAGTAACGTTACAAGTAGTAACGTTGGTATGTTTGAGGCCACAGAAGGGCTCTAACCATAGCAAAAGCTGTTAAAATCCTGCAGAGGCTTGAACTGACGTGAAACTAGAAGACTACACAAGCTGTTAAAGGAGGGAGGGAAGAGGAGAAGGTGTAGAAGCTAGAGTAGGTCCTAGGACAAGAAATAGTTGTCATAGGTGGAATGCCATTTTTCCGTAATGATGGGGAGCATACACATCTACACACACGTGCAACTGCACAGGTATTGATTTCCAGTACTGTACATACCTCAGGTGATCACCTACAGTATACTGTCACTTAACTTCCCTTGACAGAGGACTGTTTAGACACTCAGCTGCAATCCTAGCTGTACCCTAGCTGTATTACAAACACTTCACAAACAACTGGAATAGTCAGAAGCGTATTGGCTGTGCTGCCCCATTCATTTTGACCAGCTTTCCCATAAATGCAAGTGCAGTAATTCGCAGCTGATAAAAATTATTCAAATGCTCCTCAAACAAAACATGCCTTCCAGAGACCAACTGCAGGATATCAATGTGCATCTTTTAATGAAAGCTCAGTAACAACATTATCAGTATTAATACACGATTTTATTAACAAGGATTTCTTCTCCATGACATCTCAGTATCTGTTTTGGTAAAATTGCCTATTATACTCATTCTACACATAAGAAAGAGATGCGAATGCTCAATTCTCATTCAGTGCACTCTGTAACTAAATTCTTTTGATAATGCCAGCATAATGATTTACCCAAAGTCACAGCAAGCGAGGACAGGAATTTATGAGTTGTAGATTACCTGTCCCCTATTTGTCAGGGAATATGCCTTCTCTACAGCTAACGTAAACGGCTTAAATCTTTTATCTCAAATATTTTGCTTCTTTATGTCACAAGTGAAGCACTGCTTTTTCTTTTGTGGTGTTCATGCATGCATTCCCATGTGTTGCATCAGACATTAACTGACCCCTAAGGAACAGATGCCAATCAAGCCATGATGATGCATTTTAGTAACAGTGATCACACTGAGGCCTTTGGAGATAACAATAAAAAAATTCTAGTAAGAACTATCCTTTTTAAAAGCTTTAACATGAGATTCATTTGCCACTCCAACACTGTTAAACACTTCATTATGAATAGATTTTTCCTTTATTAAAAACGCAGTCAGAATGAGTAAGGAAAGGCAGAAGTTCCTTTTAGGCAGATGCTGACACAAATCATCAGGACCATGCAGAATAATGAATGTAACAATTCACATATATTTTGTGCATCCTGCAGGATACACCAAGTGGGTGCTTGGAGGAAGTGAAGCTTTTTGATAGAGAACTGGTTTGATTGTAACTTTTTTGTACTGGTATTTTAGAGGTTCTTGCCTATAATTTGCTCATATTGGTCACCCTTTGACTAACTCTTCCCTCTCTTCATCACCACCTTCATTAAAAGAAATCTCACAACAAAGGGGTGGCATTCACTTTCAGAGGAAGGCAGATTGTGGTACCAAATCCCTCCTGCAGTAAGAAGTCAGCTTTAAATATTCAGCTGTGATGTCTACAAAAGCTCTTTGACTCTGCTAGTCAGTAGCTCACCTTCCCAGCTGATGGGCTCCAGTACTTGGGCTCTATGCAAAAAGGTTCAAACAAAAGCTAGCAAAAAAAAAAAAAAATTGTGTGGGTTAAACGGTACCTCCTACACTAGGAATAAGGAGTTCCCATTTGCTTAACACCTTATGCTGACAAGTATGTCACAAGACAGATACAACCCTGAAGTGAAAGCACAGAGGGCACTGAGAGAACTGAGACTGAGCTTTCAGCATTGCATTTACAATCATACTAAGTTCCCTGCCGCACAGACTGAATGCCCAGATTCCCACCACTTCTACCAGCTGGATAGGATAGCTTATAACCCCTTAAATAAAGTGAACCCTAGCTAACTTTCGGAGTGACATTTTCTGTATATAATGTCTACTCCCTGACCATTGGCTAGCTTCTTCATCAATTGAGATCAAACTGATACACAAGACAGGAGGGCAGGGAAGAGGAAAAACCTCGATCATGCCCAACAAGGTTTTCCAAATCCAGGTCTTCCTGGAGTACTTAAATCAGCACTAGCCTTTAAACATTGCTAAAAGACCAGCAGAGAGAGTAGTAAACACCCACTTACAACTGAATTTCTTACTGCTCCAAACAAAAATAGACTAACGAAGACAAGGTTTGGGTTTTGTTTGTTTGTTTGGGTTTTTTGTTTGTTTGTGGGGGGGGGGTTTGGGGGGGGGGCTTGGTTGCTTTTTGTTTGTTTGGTGGGTTTTTTTGTGGGGTTGGTGGGTTTTTTGGTGTGTTTTGTTTGGTTGGTTTTTTTTTTCCCCCCACCATTGAAAGGCCAAATATGCCCTCCTAACTCCTCCTCTTAGCACATGAAGACAGCAGTAAGGCTTGAACACACAATTTTGAGTTTCTGAAATAAAGCAATGAGCTTCCTACATC